CTTCCCACCTGCCCCTCCCTCCATCCCTTCCTTTTGTGTACTATTTGCTGTGTACTGTGTTTTTTGAGAACTTGCTCATAAACTCTCTATTTTCCCCATGCTGGCATGTAAGAATATTGAGGTATCTTTTCACCTTATCTAATCAGAAAAACAAATCTTTTAATTGTCAAATCGAATAGAACTTTTTTAAATTATCGAGATCATTGGTTGATTCCTTGTTGAATACCTTCCTAACTCCTGGATAACCACTCTCTTTTGGTTTTCTGTGGCTCTTGGCCACTCCTTATGTATATTCTTCATAGGCAAAGCTTCCCTAAACTCTACCTATTATCTTTCACTGATGGTTTACAAATCCATAAGATTTTCACATACTTGGCTTCTTTGTTCCTTTCTTATATGCACAGATATCAGTTTTATCTATACCTATAATAATGTTAAGGACTGAATATTTGTGTTCACTCAAATTCATATGTTGAACCTTTAACACCCAATGTGATGGTCAGGAGGTGGGCCATTTTGGAGGAAATTATGTTTCTGTGACATTATGAGGTTGGAATCAGTGGGATTATTGCCTTAAGAAGAAAAGCAAGAAATATCAGCGTTTCCTCTCTCTTGGTTCTGTGAAAACAGAGCAAGAAGGTAACTCTCTACAATCCAGATTCAAAGAGTGTTCTTACCAAGAACCAAATCTGCCAGCACCTTGATGTTAGAATTCCCAGAGTTCTTAGAGAAGAATATCTATTGTTTAAGCCACTAGTCTATGGTATTTTGTTATAACGACCTGTACTGACCAAGACAGCTATCCATCCCATTGCACTGATGTTACTGCTAGAATCTTGTCTTATAGAGTAGTAGGAGTCATCAATACCAATTTACTTTAAGTCACACATTGTTATAATATTCATATTTTTTCCAAACCTATAGGGGAACTACTAATACCTTTGTTGTCTGAAGGGCAATGCTATTCTTTTTAGTCTCTTCTTCTTTTAAAAGCAGTGATTATTCTAGTTTTGCATTTTTTGCAATTGAAATAATGTTTTAGAGAATCTTAAAGAGTATTATATTTCTTTATGAATAATGAAATTTTGATGAATAAGTCATGATTAAGCCAGTAATGACTTTCAGAAGTAAATAGTAGTTTTAGTAGTGACATAGATTTCTATATGTAAAAGATTTTTCACAAATTTGAAATCAATTATCTCTTAATAGTATTATCATTATTATTATATTTTGTACATGCAGTATATTTCATATTTCCTAATACAAAACAGTATTAAAAATGTAGAATTTTCATTACAGAACAAATAAAACTGTAGGTTGCTTATTTTCATTTCCTTTCTTTCTGCACTTTTCAATTGTCTTCGTCTTCTATGAAGATGGATTGTATATCATGCATAATATCTTGAATTTTTAAAAAGTACCTGTTACTTAAGTTAACATCACTTAGAATTAACAAACACTTTATCTTACCTATTATTTTATTTTATTTTGAGATGGAGTTTCGCTCTTGTTGCCCAGCCTGGAGTGGAATGGCTTGATCTCGGCTCACTGCAGCCTCCGCCTCCTAGGTTCAAGTGATTCTTCTGCCTCAGCTTCCTGAGTAGCTGGGATTATAGGCATGTGTCACCACGCCTGGCTAATTTTTTTTTCTTTTTTTGTATTTTTGTAGAGACGAGGATTTCTCTGTATTAGTCAGGCTGGCCTCAAACTCCGACCTCAGGTGATCTGCCCGCCTCAGCCTCCCAAAGGGCTGGGATTACAGGTGTGAGCCACCTTGGCTGGCCTTAACTGTCTTTAAATAAATTAAATGCTAACTAGTTTGGGGAAACAGTCTCAGCAATCTTGGCCTATTTACAGTTGTAGTACATCTTTCTCTCAAGTGTTACCTTCACAATAGGTGATGAATGTTCCAGGTTATACTAGTTCATACTTGAAATGCAAACCTGACTGAGTCACACTGGCTTGTTGAACATAAGGAAAAAACTGGGAGAAGAGGAAGGCATTTTTTGTTGTTATTTCTTTTGACATTAAACATTCAGTGACTAAGGTAATGAAAACAAAACTGAGGAAAGTATCTCCAATATTAACCAACATTTTTTCCACATTTGCTAAATAGATATTTGTAAGGTGATTCCCACTGGCCTCAAGTACATACGCTTTTTCCTGTAGTATAGTAGAGTGTCTTTTGAAAGGGAAAGACTGATTATCTTTCTAGAATATTGATTCCTACCCAAAAAGATTCAGAATCATAAATTATATTTATGTGATAAGGGTTTGTCTAAATAGTCACTGTTAAGTAACCCCAACATTATTAAAACATTTTTATATTTATATGATTAAAATTATTTTTGTGTCATGTAAACCATAATCTGATTATAGCATGGTGTAAAATCAGCAACATGCAATGCCATATAAAGAAATCCACTGTAATTTTCTTTTTAATTTTCACTCAATTGTAAGCAATTAGTTCCTTTGAGGACCTCCCTGCTCTACCCCGTGGCATTGACACATGTAACACATAGTCTCACTGGTTGTTCTTTATTTATTCGTTTTGTCCCAAAGCTTTCTGTCATATTCACTTTCTTTCACATTATTTGGTCTGAATTACATCAGTGTTTGGTCATCATTTTTTTGAGAAGTATTTTGTTTGTATTATTTTCTCTATTGATAATATAGAGGGGTAACAAATTCACATACAAATAGGATTCTCAATCTTCCTCCTTTATTTTTTTCTTTAGACATTTTATTTGAAAATTTTTGAATCCTGTCAGCAATATTTTCTTTAAAATAAAATACTGAGATTGTAGCATTAGAACTTTCCAAGTAAAATAAAAATCTTAATCTTGAAGGTCATCCCAGATTGATAGAAAGCTACATGAAGTTCTCAGAATAGTATGCGGTTCTGGACAGTCATGGATGTCTGAACATATTTTATGGAGTACCCAGAACATTATTTTGCTAGTATTACATGTAGATAAGGTGTTTTTATTCTGGTGTGTGTGTATGAAAGGAGTACTTGTGCAGTTAATGTGTTTTGTGAATTTTTTTCACAGTGAGAAATTGGGGAATTTTTGTTGTTACATGTTAACATTTCGTCTTCTAGGTATAGTGTGCTTTTTAAAACAATCTGTATGCTAAATAAATGGACCTAAAGTACTACCTTAAAAGGTTTTTTGTAAAGAGAATATGATATGCCAAATTTCAGTTTATTAATCTGATTCCAAAGAAGCAGCAGAAATGTAACTGTGATAGTACCAATGTAATTTGGGATTTTAAAAAGTTTAACAAATTTAAATTTGGTGCTCTTCCATCCAACATAACTACCATTTAGCATTTCTTGGATAAAATAAAGGTTCGAAAAAAATATATAGCTCACTACTATTTTAAAAATATGTAATCTGAAATCATTCCAAAATATTTTAAGATAAATTTGGCAGAGCCTTTGTTTCTTAAATAGTGTGGAATTTGATGTAGGTTTTAAAATAATTTTAGAATTAGTTACAGATGATTTAGTTTGCTATTCTTCCTAGGGGGAAAAATCTTTTTAATCTTGAGACAGGCAAAGTACCTCAGTACTGACCACATACTATTATGCAGTTATCATTGCGTCCAGTCAAGTTATTGTGAACTACTATGTTGCTAGATTTATTTTATTATGCGAGTCAAAGTTTCTAATTTTATAATTTTGTAATAATTTTATTAACTATATTTGGTCAAGACATTTTTAATGTTCAAACTTTTGAGACCCTACATTCTGGTGCCTACTGAGTTTTGAATATATATTTAGACTCTGAAATATTTATAGTATCATCTACTTAGCAATTCACTCGATATTTTTCCTTCAATGAAAAAACAAGGTAAGACTACAAGTGCAGTGATCTCTGATCTCATATCTGCCTGGGCACATCCATCACCCACAGAGGGAAAAATATATATGAAGGAAATATAACTAAGTGTTAATAGTATTTATTATCAGGGGTGGTAAGATAGAAGGTAACTTATGAATGGTTTTGGTATTTTCTTCTTTATATCTTATATTTCCCAAATTATCTGCAGTCTGGTACCTATTACCTTTCTAGTTTGAAAATAAGTGTCCTCAATTTGTTCTAAAATAATTACTAAATATTATGTTCATATTATACTCTCTGTACTGACAAGCTCTAGTAGAATTGTAAAGTCCAAAATACATAATAAATGTTTAAAAATATTCTGATACTAAGTGGCCTTTCAAAAGTTATTTCAAAAATTACTTTTGTATATTTACAAGAAATAAATGGCTTTATCTCAGAGTTTATCTTAATAATTTAATCTTACCTGAGGTAAGTTAGTAAAAGCTAAAAGTATAAAAAGGGAATTTTGCTTTTAATTCTGACATTTATGAGTGCCAATTTTTTATCAAGTGCCTTTTATTTCAAAATAACTTAAATATAAGAATAATCTAGGGAACATATCAAAATTCATTTTGAGTCTTACCATCAGAGGTTTTAATGAAGAAGGTCTAATGTCCTAGGAACCTCTATTTTAAATTAGCATCCCACATGATTCTGATGCAGGTCATCCAACAGACCATATTAGGTTGTTTTTCTTATCCTCTCTCATTCCACGGCAAGATCTATGGTCATTTTCAGTCCCACAGAAAAAACCTTGGATTTACATAATTTGGTCTGTTTTCTCTGGCCTCCAAGTTATGGTGCATACATCCCCAACAGTTTCACAATACAACCGACTAGGGTATGGGAAGAGGAATTTAGAACTTCTATTTTTATTTTTATCTCATATACAGAATTTCTATTAATATATGGTTTATTGTGTATATAATTACTGAAAGAATTTTACGTGGAATGTAAATTGTTTAGCACTTTGATCTCAGGAATACTATATTCACTTTTTATGATGCAGTATTAGTCATAAATGTTAAATGTTTTACATTTTACTGTCAAGTGACAATTAATTGTATTTTTGCTTGTGTGCTTCCCTATTCCTTTTTGTCCCCATATCAGGTGATGCTTTTCCTTGGACTATCAGCTTGCATCATTTCAGCATATATACCCTTCTTGGAAAACAATTGACACTTTGCCTAGTGGAACCTATGGGTTGCACCTCCACTCTAGCTGTCACATCTCAAAAACTACTTGCTACCGGACCTGATACACGACATTCATTTGTTGTCTGTCTCCATGTTGACCTAGAGTCACTAGAGATAAAATGCTCTAATCCCCAGGTTGGTACATTTGATTTATGAAAGGAAATTTAAAGTAATGTGATTTAAAAGCAATTGTTATCCATTTTGTTGAAGGGTTTCTCTTAAGTATCCTAAATTATTTTTAATTTGGCCATCAAGATCAGGGTAGTTAGATTAAGAATTGCTTTGAAGCTCTCTCAATTTGTGTAATTTAAACTCTTCTGAAAATGTAATGGAAGCAGCACAAATGCATCTTTTGGCTGATGGAGTGAAATCAGTTGCAGATGTAATGTTTTTAAACACTGAAGAACTATTTTACTCTCAGACTGGAAGAGTCTGTTGAATTGATTAAATATAATTTTCATTCAGATTCTCACTCAGAACTTCTTTGCTTATCATGCAATGTTTTTTATAAAAAAAGATTTCAGTTGTCATAGACTAATCATGTTGTATCTTGCACTTTTACAGTTTAATATGAATTTAGATCACCTGGGTTTACACAGATAGTTGCATGCAATTTATCACTTGTTTCTTTACCCTCAAATAGACTATGCTATATTTTCTACATAGATTGTCAAAGCTGAATACTAGAGTTATATTTTAAAATAATCCTTTTTAGAATATTATTGGATATTCTAGGTCAATATTGACAAATCCATATTTATCTTAGCATTAATTGTTTTAAGCCACTGTTTAAAGAGTGTTTTTTTAAGTAGGTTCAAGTTAGTTGAGCTTCTTGGCACATGCCTTTAGTCCCAGCTACTCAGGAGGCTGAGGCAGGAGGATCACTTGAGCCCAGAAGTTAGAGGCTGTAGTGTGCTATGGTTGCACCTGGGAATAGCCACTGCACTCCAGCCGGGGCAGTAAAGCAAGACTCTGTCTTAAAATTTTTTGTTATGTTTTAATTCACTTTTTATGGAACAGAATTAAATAAAAATATTAAATGTTTTACACTTTACTATCACATGACAGTTAACTGTATTTTTATTTGTGTGCTTCCCTACTCCATTTCCTCCCCTATTTCAAGCAATACTTCTCATTGAATCAGCTTGCATTCCTTATTTTATAGAGCCTCTTTATTGAAACCATCCTCATCCTTCTTATCTTCCTGCCTTTCTGTCTTTACTATATACTATATTGCTTGATTTAACTTTTATGTGTATTTGTGTACTTTGAAAAGATTAGAACTAATAATAGATCAGTAAGAGCCATATTATAAAAATGCATACAATTAGAATTATGACAAGGCGCTGTATTAAAAGAACACTATCATAAAAACTTAAAAACTCATCCTCCATTATAATAAAAGTTACTTCTTTTTTTCTTCTTCTTTTTTTTTTTTTTTTCCCAGAGACAGGGTCTTGCTTGGTTCCCCAGGCTGAAGTGCAGTAATGCAATCATAGCTCATGCAGCCTTAAACTCCTAGGTTCAACCAGTCATCCCATCTGAAACTCCTAAGTAGATGGGACTATATGCACATGCCACCATGACTAGCTAATTTATTTCATTTTTATTTTTTGTAGGGACAGGGTCTTGTTTTATTGTCTGGGGTGATCTTGAACTCCTGGCTTCAAGTGACCATTCTGCCTCAGCCTCTCAAAGTGCTGGGATTACATGGTGCGAGAACCATGCCATGAAGGTCATTTCTTTTAGAATCAGTAGTGAATACTTTTGAATGCTACTAAATATTTCAGTTTAATGGCGATTTGCCTTTCTATTATAACCCATAGTGATATAGAAGAAAATAATTATGAAATGACTTACCTTATTTGAGATTACTCTTCGAGTGCTACTGCTAATGGTTGCTTTAAAATGTTTCTAAAAGGAAGGCAAACTGTTATGGGTTGAATTGTGTCCCTGCAAAAATATATGTTGAAGTTCTAACCTTGTGTAACTCAGAATATAACATTTGGTAATAGGTTTGTTACAGAAGTAAGTTAAAATGAGGTCATTAGGGCAACCTAGTGTGACTGGTATCCTTATAAAATAGAAAAATTTGGACATAGACACATACAAAGGGATGATGATGTAAAGACATACAGGGAGATTGCCATGTGAACCTGGAAGCAAAGACTGAACTATTGGAGCTATAAGCCAAGAAACACCCAAGACGACTGGTTCTCACCAGAAAAGCTAGGCAGAGAGCCAAGGAAGGATTGTACTCAGAATTTCAGAGGGTGCATGGCCCTACTGATGCCTTGATTTTGGATTGTAGCCTCCAAGACCTTTGAGACAATATGTTTCTGTTGTTTTAAGCCACCCAGTTTATGGTACTTTATTATGGCAGCTCTGCCAAAATAGAATGTAGAGGAACAAATTCAACTTCTTTAGACCCTTTATCAAAGAAGTTATTAAAAAGGAAAACCCTTAGCATGGCAGTATAAGCTTTATCAGCCTATCTTTCCCACTGATTATTCCTGTATACTCTGGGAAAAATTCAAAAATTAAAAGTTGACTCCTCCCACATAATTGCATGTTCTCAACTTGTTTTAAAATAATTACATTACAAAATGACTCTAAGGCAGCTATTAGAAATTTTTCTGAGTTGTAAAGGAAAGCACACTGAATGAAAAGGTAATAATTCTCAGCTGAGGAATAAAAAGTATAAAAAAGAATCAAATAGAATTTTAGAACTAAAATATACGATACCTGAAGGAAGAAAACCATATTGTGTGGGCTTAAAGGTAGGTAGCCTGGAGATGATAGAAGAGTTGCTAAACTTGAACATAGATTAGTAGAAATTACTGAATTTGAAAAAGAAAGGAAAAAAGTTTTTTTAAAAAATGAACAGCGCATTAATGGCTATAGAACAGAAAGGTCTAATATTGTGTACTACTTGGAGTTTCAGGAGGAGAGGAGAAAAAGGTTGGGATTTAGAAAAAGAAGAGATAATTACAGAAAACGTTGCCAATTTGGGGGAAGCGACAGTCTTTTACATATCCAAGAAGCTCACCTTATCCCAAACAGAATAAACCCAAATTAACACACATTTGGACACATTGTGATTAAAGTATTGAAAACCAAAAATAAATTTTTAAAATTTTTGAAAGCAGTTACAGGAAAAGACACTTTCCATGTAAGCAAACAATGATTTGAATGAGAGTAGATTTTCATTAAAAACCACAAGAGACAGAAGCCATTAGAACAATATTTTGAAAGTTCCAACATAGAAGAACTGTTAACCTAGTGAAGATACCCCATAGAAATGTAAGAGAAATAAACCCATTTTTAGATGAAGGAAACCTAAGCAAGTTTGTTACCAGGTGCTCTGTTCTACAAGAAATGCTAAAGGAAATTCTTCAGGATAAAGGAAAATGATACTGGATGAAAAATTAGATCTTCAAGAATGAAGGAAAATCAACAGAAAGGGTAAATGGCTGAGTAAATAATTTTGAGAAAAACAATTTTAAAAATATATGTGACTCTTAAAGGCAAAAAGCACAAAATTGTCTGCTGGATTTTTCAGTGTATGTAGATGGAATATACAAGACAACTATAACATTAAGGCTAGAGGAAGATGGAGTAAAAGGATCTATGGTTGCCAAGTTACTATATCTCATATGATATAAGTGGTACAATATAAACTCTTAAGCAGACTGAAAGTTTTGGTGTGTATGCTATACTCTCTTAAGACAACTAATAAAAAAAATGCAAAAATACAAAAGGATAGAGCCAAAAAGCCAATAGAGGAATTAAAATTAAATTCTAAAAAAGATTCAAAGAAGCCAAAAAAGTTGGGAAAAAGTAACAAAGGAACAAAAAATGAATGATAAAACAGTACAAAATATAAAATAGAGCTAAGCCAACTGTATTAATGATTACATGAAATATTTATGGTCTTAATTAGGAATCTGCAAACTAATGCCCATAGGCCAAATTTGGCTATACTCATTTACATATTGTCTGTGATTTCTGCCATTACACGACTACAGAACTGAGTAACAGTAATAGAACAGTATAGAATACAAAGCCTAGGATATTTACTCTCTGGCCCTTTACAGAGAAAGTTTACAAATTATTGGTCGAGACACTTTAATTAAAAGGCAAAGATCTATAGAGTGGGAAGAAAAGCAAGATGCTACTATATAATACCTAAGATTGTATTTTACTTGAAATATAAAGAAACAGATTATAAATAGATACATAGTAAAAGATACACCATACAAACAGCATAAGAAGGCTGGACTTATTTTAATCTTAGATAAGATAAAAAAATAAGTGTGTTGCTACAGATAGTAACATGAAACAAAAATTAACAAAATGAAAAAAAATAGACAATTCTAGAATCATAGTAAGAAATTTTTATAGCACCTCTTTCAGTGATACATAAAATAACCAGATTAAAAATAAATAATTGAAGATATAGAAGATACGAAAATACTATGAACTCAGCTTGATCTAATTGGCGTTTGTAGAACAGTATATCCAACAACCATAGAATGTACCATTTTACAGGTATACATGGTCTCTTTTTTAAGATGATCAGAATCATATGAAAGTATTATTTGACCACAGTCAAAGTAAATTAGAAATTAATAATAATAAAATAGCTAGAAAAACTTTATATAGACATTATTCTACATAATTTATGGGGCAAAGACAAAATTATTTGGGAAATGAGAAAATACTGAATGACACCGAAAAAAAGTAGATAAGCTAAGGCAGTGTTTAGAGGGAAATATAACTTTAAAGACATACTCTAGTAAGATCTTAATTCAGCTATTTAGGTTCAACTTTAGAAAGCTAAGAAAAGAACAGGAGAAACCCAAAGTAAGTAAAAAGAAGAAAATAATAAAGATACGAGTAGAGATGAATGGAACAGTTAACAAAACAGTGAGAAAGAGATAGAAAATTAAAGCTATGAACTGTTCTTTAAAAAGATCAACAAAATTGGTAATTCGTTTGCTATACTGAAATAAGAGAGAGGGAGGAAAAAAATGCAAACTACTGATACCAGGAATGAAGGAGTGTTGATAACATTAAAAGCATAATAAAAGAATAATCAACAACTTTATGCCAACAAATGCAACAACTTAGAT